CCCCTCTCTCTCCCTCTCCCTCTCCCTCTCTCTCTCTTATTTTAGTTAAAACACGACAACCGGGAATCTCCAACTTGGGACACTCGTCGTACTCTGAACTAGAATCCCATCGCTCTAGGACTAATGGAAGCTACTTTCCATGCTTCGGGAGGGAGCCACGCTGAGTTCAGGAGCACCCAACCGTCGCTCTTTGCGTCGTATCCTCTGTCTACCGCCTGATCTAAAACACGACACACCGAGGCCTGGGTCTTAGCCAGTCCTGTACCCCAGGGGTCTCCAACCTTGTCCGCTTTAAGACTTGCGGACTTCAACTCCCAGAGCTGGCTGAGGAACTCTGGGAGTTGAAGTCCGCAGGTCTTAAAAGTGGACAAGGTTGGAGACCCCTGCTGTACCCGATGCCTCCATCGGTCAATCCCGGGCCTCTTCCCCCGTTCTAGCCCGATCTTTGCCCGCGGACGCCGCGGCAAGTTCAGCAGGAAATCCCACTCGCGATCTGCCCTCGGAAGGTACCTGTGGACGAGGAAGGCAAGGGCGTCTTGCTCCTCTGGAGCGAAGGAAGTGGCCCCGGAGGCGGCTCCTGGGAACTGGGGACCACCAGCTTGATCTCACTCGGGATCTTCTCCCTGGCCGGAGAATCCTCCTGCTGGGCCCGGCCGCCTTCGGATGGGGCGGCCTTCTTGGCTTCTGGCCGGCTCTGGGCGTGCCTGCTGCTGGGCCGGCTGCTTTGAGAGAGCCATTCTACGGAGAAGGGAGCCTTGGTCATGGCGCGTTGGCTTCGGGCTGTGCTGTCCAGGCTGGGCGTGCCCGCCCGCGTCCCTTCCCTTATGAGCCGCCGCCCCGAGGCAAGCGCCGCTGGAGTAAACAAACATCAAAGGGGCAGATAAGCGCCGTCTAATTATCATCGGGCCTCCCCCGACAAAAGAGGCTGTTCACACATTTTCCAAAAGCCGGCCGAGGCTGGCTCCAAGGTGTCTGCCGAGGGCTCAGGTCGCTCTGTGGTAAGCGATTTACAGGCCCCGTCATATCCTTTGCCGCTCGGTCTCATCAAGTCCACCTATTGCCCCGGCTTTATTGGGGGGTGGGGATGGGCGGGGGTTGGCTTCAAAAGGCCATCGGGGACAGTAAATAGTCGCCTGTCTCAAGGGGGAGATTTGGTTGGGGCCAATTTTCTTCACATCCACATTTCGCAACCCTCTTGCTTTGCTTAAGGAGTTTTATCAAAGCGGAGCAAGATTCGCTTCCACCCCTCCTGGTTGCCTTGCCTTAAACGAGCTGTCAAACTCATTTGGTGGGTTTGGCACAACACACACACACACACACACACACAGAGAGAGAGAGAGAGAGAGAGAGATGGCAGAGTGGCTGCCTGTGGCGCTGAGGTAGTTGGAAATGGTTTCACAGAGCTTTTCTCTACTCCTCTTCCTCCTCCGTTTACTTCATTCTCCCTCATAATCGCTTCCCCTTCCTTCCACAGGTCAACTATTAGGAGTTAGATGGAGCCAATGTCGGCTTCCTCCCAACTAGCAATGGTAATTTATTACTTAATAAAGAAGATAAGGGCTGAAGTAATTCTCTATTGCTCCTTTCTCGAAGGACTTCAGGTGCCTCTGGAGCTGCTGCTTTGCATTTGGTTGTCACAAATGGCTTCTGAGAGAGGGGAGCTGTCAAAAGCGATTGCCTCCAGGTCACCTCATATATTTTTGGCTGAATTATTGGACAGCCCAGTCCAATTATAGAGACATGGAGGGAGGAGAGAGGTTGAAAAATTAGCTTGATTCACACATTTGTCTGTTTTATGGAAGGAGGTGAAACTGGGGCAACTGATCTGTTTTTAGTGTTATTTTCACCATAGGAAAAAAAAAATCTAGTTTTTTTCCCCCCTAGATGCCTTTATCTTATCCTCCTGATCAGTATAAATATTTGTAAGGATAAGTTTTACTACAACAAACTTTGGTGCTCACTGTTTCCATGGAAGGTTAAAAGAACTACATTAATTCAGGTTCCTTTGAGTTGGGCTTAAGTGACAGACTTCATTTATTGAATTATTTCCTATGGCCTCAAAAGCTGAATGGAAATGTTTATGTTTCTTCAGCGGATTCATTTTTATAACACAGAACACAAGCTTTTGAATTACAAGCATATAGTGATATTTAAAAATGGAAGGTGCTGGAGATGAATGCAACCGCTGTTGCATTTGCACACTCAATTTGCATTTGCACACTCAATTATGGTATTACCTTAAAGCTGAATGTGGGAACAATCTATGATCATTTCTATCAAGTGCAGAGGCATCTTTCAGAAAGACTTTGCAAATCCTTTCCCTCCCAATTTTGAAACATAAATTCCAAACCAAGCAGTTTTGAGCCAGATGTGGGTGGGTGGGTTTAGATGCATAAAATTCACTCATTATACCCAAACCTTTTGGGTATAAACCATGCCTAATTCTGACTTAACTCACATAAGATACAGTTTGTTTAAACTACTACCGGTATTTAATATGTGTTTGGATAATGCACAAAACCATAAATCATAACCTGCCAATTATAATTGTGATTTGTGTTTTTATTTATTTATTTATTTTGTCAAGCAATTATAAGATAACAGGTATAAGTATAAGCATAGTTATGAATACATGAAATGGATACATATAAGATAAATAAAAAGAAACAATAGAACAGGGACAGTAGGCACATTGGTGCACTTATGCACGCCCCCTACAGACCTCTTAGGAAAGGGGTGAGGTCAATAGTAGACAGTCTAAAGTTAAAGTTTTTGGAGTTTGGGGAAGAAACCACAGAGTCAGGTAGAGTATTCCAGACATTGACCACTCTGTTGCTGAAGTCGTATTTCCTGCAATCAAGTTTGGTGCGGTTTACCTTGAGTTTGTATCTATTGTGTGCTCTTGTATTGTTATGGTTGAAGCTGAAGTATTCATTGACAGGTAGGACATTGCAATGTATGATTTTATATACTATACTTAGACTGGACCGAAGGCGGCATAGTTCTAGGTTTTCTAAGTCTAGAATTTCAAGTCTGATGGCATAAGATATTCTACAACGAGTAGAGGAGTGGAGAACTCTTCTTGTGAAATATTTCTGGACTTTCTCAACTGTGTTAATATCAGATACGTAATGCGGGTTCCAGACTGATGAGCTGTATTCAAGTATTGGTCTAGCAAATATTTTGTATGCTCTAGTTAGTAGTGTGACATTACCAGAGAAAAAGCAACGTAGGTCTTGACTATTCAGCTTGTATTTTATTTTCTGATTTTTTTGCCAATATGTAAGACAGAGCATTTAGTTGTTGAGATTTGAAGTTGCCATTTGTTTGACCATTCGGATACATAGTCGCGGTCTTTTTGAAGGGTTTGTAACATATGTATAGTTATCACTGTCATGGAGAGAAAGTGAAGCATACTTCTTAGGGAAACTAACTGTACTTCTGATTGGAAACTAACCAAGGAGAGAAGGAACCTAGAACTAAGGAGTAAATTCCTAAAAGTGAGAGCAAGCTTGCCTTCAAAAGTGTGGGTGCTCCATCACTGGAGGCTTTCAAAAACAGACTGGACAACCATTTGTCTGAAATGGTATGGAGGTCTCCTCCTTGAGCAGGGGGTTGGACTAGAAGACCTTCAAGTCCCCTTCTATGTTATGGGTGTTTTATTTGGATCAGAGAAATCCAGAACATTTGCATGTAATTATAAAACCTATGGTATAATTGGGACAGTAACACATAATCACCTTAACATATCTCCCATGGTAGGAGTCATAGAGATACAACCAGAGACACCACCTTCCTTGAACTGTCAGAGAAAAGGCAAGATATAAACAAATTCATAAAAGGATGCCCAGAACAAACTAAACATGAAACAAATCAGAGGTCAGATACATGGTGTGCAGATCAGTAATACCAACTCCAGTGATGTGGGCCACTCTCTTCTACAATGCTCAGCATTGGAAGGAAATTGTTGATGTGCCACTTGTCTTGTTCTCCTGCCCTGCATGCCACCTTCAACCACCAGAGGATTAGTCTATACCCTGCACTGTAAAAATGGGAGTACCAGTAACATCATGTTGTGGATTTTCTAAAACAAGTGTCAAAACCAACACTTGAACACTAGAAAGCGCTGCAGAAAGCATTTCCCTTCACTTCCAACAATCTTCCCACAAGCTATTCTCATCGCAAAGTTATTTTTTTTTCCAATGCTACATGTCCTCTTTGAACAAGGAAGTCCCGCATTCAGACCACCCTAGAATGTTTTCCCCAATCTTTTTTCCTACCTTTCCAATTGTATTAGGGTTAGGGTTGTTAGTCCAATACAATTGGAAAGCATAGCTTAGAGAAAACTGTGTAGTTAATCTTCTGGATGGAGGAATCAAGAAGGGAATTAGAAGATGACCTTAGCTAATTTGAAATGCTAAACAAAGCCAGAGTTATTCAGAAAAACCTAAGGTTGGAAAGTAGGGTGGGATGGGAAAATCTTAAAAAGAAAGGATTTCCAAATTACTTTTGTTTTCTAGTTAAAGGAAGAATCCAGGCATATCCATGAGGTCATCCAGGAACTGAGACCAACCTTACCTGGTGATAAGGCTATTTCTTAAGGTCTTTTGTTGTCTATTCAGAATACAACATAAATAGCCTAATTTTAAGTTTGTTTTGCATGCTTTCAACTGATTGTTCATAAATTAAATAAAAATAGGAATTGCATTAGTAAAACTGATATATTTCTGGATCTCCAGGTGAAAAAACTGGATCTTTCCAGTGAAATCTTTTGATCCTTTCTCAACAATGATAGCATCTATGAGTGGTTCCTCATTGTGATGTGTTGGGTCTCCTGGGATGCTTACTTCTTGGTCTTGGCAAACCTGAGAGGCAAGGTCAATAATTCTGGCAGCAAAGTTTAATGGTTACATTAACCTTGAGACAAAAGTGCTTTGTCCAAGATGTGGATTTTGTATGTTGGATTGGCACCTCTTTGCTCTCTGTTGCAATTCAAATAAAGGAAGATCAGACAGATAGAACTTTATCATGATCATCCTAACACCATTCATCTGATTAGAAAGGAATTTCCCTTCAGGTTATGCACCATAGATCAGATCAATGAATTTTGCTTGGGATTTTTCCAGAGTAGATGAGTTTCACAAGTGTGGAAACGTAATTTTTCCTCCGGGGCTGTTTTTCTCCCGGGCAAGATTAACTGGAGACTTTTAAAGCACTTTTCTCATCCCCACCCCACCCTCAAACAGAACATAACTCACCTGAGTTGAATGTAACGATATCATTTATGGCCCACTTATCTCTGTAGTAAATAGTATCTTTCTGCCTAAGTTCAATGATCTCTACTCCTATACACATGGTGGTGATCTTGATGCTCCGAGTTGCTGCCTAAACCTTCATCTAGATTTCCTGAAAAATATACTTTATACCGTAGGTACACAACAGTATAATAGACATTGTGTAAGAGCTCACAAATAGGAGCAGGTGAGCAATGAGTAACAAACAAGCCCCAAAGTGAGACACACAAAAATTAGACACAAAATGTTACCATATGACATTCAAAGTGTGATAAGGCAGTACAGCTTTAAAATTATGATCAATTCAACACATTGTTTCTTCCGTTTGATATTGTTGGGATTTTAAAGGAAAAACAGTGGGTTCAGCTCACTGTGGGATATTTAACCTCAAAATGCAACAGTAGTTCATGCAAAGTAGTCATTTGTCATTTGTCTTCTTGGACAGAAATTATTTTATGTGATAACTCTG